TTAATAAAGTGTACTAAAAATAGAAAACTATGTATAAGACAAAGGATCGAGGTAGAATTATGAAATTCTTGGAATGAGCGTCACTGATGGACTACATGAGGAGGCGAAAGTCCTTCCCTTACGTCAGCATAATCATATGCTTTCGTTGCAGTACCTGCTTGGGTGTTACCGTGAGAGTCATCCCAACCATCATATGGTGGATAACTCTCCCCCACCCAGGCGTGTCAGGAAGGACATACATGATCTAGAGAGGGAGGTCCAGCGCTACAAGAGAGAGCCTCTAGATCAAGAAGCCTATCAGGCAGGTCTGAGTGGCATTCACACCGATGCAGTCGCGGATGCTATGAGCAGTTATAAAGTAAATGCCGTCCTCGGAGTCCACCCCCCATCCATTGCAGCCGAAGAACGTCAGCTGCCTAGACAAACCAGGGTAGTTTTGGCGCAATTACGTTCAGGATGGTGTAGTCGCCTCAATTCGTATTGGGCACGAATTGATGAAGATGTGCGTGACGCCTGCCCGGCGTGCGATACAGGCCCGCACAATACGCTACACCTTTTTAATTGCTCAGCCAAACCTACCCAACTCACTCCAGAGGATCTCTGGCTACAGCCCGTTAAAGTAGCCGAATTTCTAAACCTGGAGCTGGAACCAGATTAGCAGAACACAAACACACACATGCACTACTGCTACAACAACAACAACTGCAGGAAGGGGTACTTTTGGTAATTCGATAGAGATATTTTGGAAATTCGAAGCTTAAGCGAAAATTTCTAAAATGTACCAATCCTCTAAAATGGCACCATTTGGTATTAGAATAGAACTTGAAATTTGGTATGAGAATCAATGTTGGAAAGTAAATTTGATTTATGGAAGTAGATTCGGAAATGTGAACTAAGGTACGAAGTACTTATGTACAAAATGCTACAACATTTGGTATGGGGTAGGGCTGGAATCCTCAAAATAAATATTGAGTTCTCTTTTGGTAGCTGGTTATAAGATATGAAGGTGGGTTTGGAAATGTGTACCATAACTGTATGAAAAGTACTAAATAGTACTAAGTTTGGTACAGGATGAGGAGCTGAAATCCTGAAAATTGATATGGATGTCACTGGTGGTTGTACTAAATTTAATAATGGGGGAAATTTCAGAACTGAAATTTTATATTAAGGTCACTTTTGGAATCTAGAATTGATATATGGAGGAGGTTTTGGAAAAAGCACTAAATGTTACTAAATTTGGTCCTTTTTGAATGGGTGGAGATAAAATTTTGAAATTTGATATTTAGATAATTGTTGGTATCTGAGGAACAGATTTGGAATTGGGTTTGGAAATGCGTATTATTGATGTTCGAAAAGTACTAAATGGTACTAAATTTGGTATTGGGTAAAGGGATAGGGCTGGCATCCTAAAATTTGATAGAGATATCACTATTGGTGTCTGCGGTTGAGAAGGAGCTGGTTTTGCATACGCGTAATATAATTGTTTTAAATTTGGTAATGGGGGAAATTACAGAGCTGAAATCCTGAAATTTGATATTAAGGCCACAGTTGACATCTGGAATTGAAACATGAAGGTGGTTTTGGGAAAAAATACCTAATGGTAGTGTTTTTTTGATTTTGGAGGAGGGTTTGGAAATGCGTGCTATAGTTGTTCGAAAAGTACTACATTAAACTAAATTTGGTATTTGGTGAAGGGATAGAGCTGATATCCTGAAATTTGATATAGTTGTCACTCTTGATGTCTGTTTTTAAGATATGTAGGTGTTTTTGGAAATTTGTATCATAATTGTTCGAAAAGTACAAAGTGGTACTAAATTTGGATGAAGGGGTAGAGCTGGAATTCTAAAATTTGAATTGAGGTCGCTGTTGGTATACAAAAAGTATACTGGAATCTTGAAATTTGATAACGAGGTATCTGTCGATATCTTGTATTAAGATCTGTTGGTTGTTTGCGTACTATAATTTTTCGAGAAGGACCAAATATGGATCACTGTTCATGCTTAGTATGAACAGATGTATGTTTGGAATTGTTTGAAATTATAGAGCTGAAGTCCTGAAATTTGATGTTGTATAGGGAACGTTAAAATCGTTTTGGACAGAAAAATAGAATGTGGATCCTTTGTACAATGGCTTTACTCCAATTATCCTCAATAAATAAAAGATTTTGAAGAATTTTTCTATTTGTCATTTTCCCACTTGTACTTCGGAAAAAGGAAAAAAACTTGAATAATAGGTAAAACCTCAAAGTCTGAAAATCTAGTACGATTTGTGGATTTTGAGTACTAACAAATAAAAAAGCAATATGTTCGGCCGGAGCGAACTTGGAATACCCTCCACCATTTAGAACAAATTTGGAAATTAAAAAAAAAAAAAAATAAAAAATCCGTTGAAAAATAAAAATCAATAAAATAACGAATGTAGGGAGGTAGAATTATACGGGGACTATCTGAAGACCTGGGCCTGCATATGTAATTATTGTCATAGGCCATTACAATATTCAAATACAAAGCTTTAAACAATTCCGGTGAATAATGTCGCAAAAACATTAAAATACCGATAATATGGAGGTACTGTTACATGATGGCTCTACGAAGACCTGGACCTGCAGAGCGAATTTTCTGTCACAGGCTGAAGTACCCATTATGGATTTCTATTACGAAAGTTGAAACAATTCCCGTGAATCATTATCAAAATTCCGAATATAGGGAGGTACAGTTTGTGGATGATATACCTATACGTAGACCCACATAGCCCACTTGCAATACTCACAGTCCTGCAGGCCAAACACACATTTGAGTAAAACTGTCCGTTTGTGGAAATCACTCTAGCTTCGAAACGAAATGAAGTAGGTTGATACAATTAATCTCAAAAGTATGTTAAGTGTGCAGGACTTTAGGTATTGAAAATGGACCATGTAGGTCCTCGCTTTGGTATAGCCCCCATATAATGGTACCTTCCTATTTTCGGTATTTTGGTGATTTAAGTGAAATTATTCATCGGAAATGTTTCAAATTTGGTATTTGAAGTTAGTAATGGATACTATAGCCTAAGACAGAAAGTAGTGTGTGCAGGTGCACGTCTTCGTGTTGCCCCCATATGAAAGTACCTCCCAATTTTCGTTACTTTGTTGATTTTAGCGGCATTATTCACCGGAATTGTTTTAATTTTGGTATTTGAAATTCGTAATAGATACTGTAGCCTAAGACAGAAAATTGTCTGTGTGGGTCCACGTCATCGTATATCCCCCATATAACGGTACCTCCCGATATTCGGAACTTTGATGATTTTAGCGACATTATTCACCAGAATTGTTTCAAATTTGGTGTTTGAAGTTTGAAATAGGCACTATAGCCTATGACAGAAAATTGTTTGTGCAGGTCCATGTCTTCGTATAGCCCTCATATAACGGTACCTCCCCTATATTCGGAACTTTGATGATTTTAGCGACATTATTCACCAGAATTGTTTAAAATTAGGTATTTGAAGTTCGTAATGGATACTACAGCCTATGAAAGAAAATTTTCTGTGCAGATCCACGTTTTGGTTTAGCCCCCATATAATAATACCTCCCTATATTCGGTATTTTGATGATTTTAGCTACATTTTTCACCGAATTTTTTTCATGTTTCGCATATGAATATTTTAATGGCTTATGACGAAAGTTGCCTATGATGGCCCACATCATCGTTTAGAGTCTAATATAACGGATACATTCGGCATTTTTATACCCTACAACACTATGTGTTGGGGGTATTATAAGTTTGACTGGACCCAAAATTGTGTAACACCTCGAAGTATTGATTTTCCATATAGGAAAGTATATATAGATCTTCCTATGTCGCCGAGATGAGTCGATCTACCTATGAATGTCCGTTTGTCCGTCTGTCTATGTTAATTTGTAATCACTCTACTTCTACTTCTTCACGAAATTTAGAATGAAGGTGGGGATATGGCCAGAATAGAACCCTATTTCTTTTGGAGGTGATCGCATAATATTTTGGCGTTGAAATGAACCAAAAACTAAAAAAATCCTGATATTGCAGTTTCTCTACAGGACGCAATTATAGACCCATCAATGGGCAGAAGCCTTCCAATTTTGATGGTCATCGGGTAATATTTAGTTGGTGAAAAAGGCTATGCCATTTGTGTTAAATAAAATCAAATTTTTCGAATAGTTTTAATCCCGGCGAAATCACAAATAGAATAGAAATCTTCCAAAATGGATTAGGACATAAGAGGGCTGGTAGTGTTGTAGGGTATCACATGGACGGCCCCGCACGACTATAGCCTTTGCTTACTTGTTAAGATTTTAATAGAACGGATTTTATTTTTTTGAAAATTGCCAAATTCGTTTCAAATGGTGGATGGTATTAAAAATTCGGACGGCCGAACTTACAGCTTTTATACTTCTTTGGCCATGATTTTGAAGGTTATTCTAGTTTCAAATCTCATCAATATTTCGGTTATTTAAAATATAGTTTCCATTTCACCAAGTGGCGCCCAAACAAAATGAGCCCTTTAAATTGTGCCTTAATAGTTGTGGTAATTTTACGTACAACGCAAATAAATGTCAGTCTTTGAATCTTCAATTGGAGTTATGTGTACTGCCTTCAAAAATTATAATTACATCTTTGGCCCACAATTGTTTTCAAAAAATTTGTCAACATTTGGATTTCCCCTCTGCAAAAGAACATAAAATAACTATAATATTTAATCGTACTAATAATAACAATACAATAATCATAACAATATTTTTCAAAGCAATCACAACAAAGTTTATTTTTTATTACTTTTTTGTTGATAATGTTGTTGTTGTTTTTGTGCTGCTTTAACAAATGACAAATGGTTTTCGAAAATCTCTTCGAATTTATTCTTATCACTTGACAACTGCTGCTCAAAACCCCAAGTGCATACATGTTCTGATCCAAAGAGCAGACAATGCAGCTTTTGCACCATTAAAATTTTAACCTTTGAACTGAGGTTTTATTTGTTTTGTTTTTATTTCTTCACTCCATCCACCTAATGGAGAAGTGCAGTTGTCTCCGCCACTTTGTTGCTGGTGCATTCTGTGGAAAAAAGGGAGAAAACACAATATTAAGCTAAATTTAAATATGAAGAGTAAGCAGATTATTGCCGAAGGAGCAAAAAAAGAAATAAAATTTTATGTTGAATTCTTTCTAGTTAGAGTTTGTTTTTTCTTCATTTGACCCTGCCATCCAATCAACCCAGTCAGTCATAATCTCAAGTATTTAACTTACAAAGGAATGCATTGCCCAGCACTGGCTCGCTGGCTGGCTGACAAGCGAAGTTCAAAAAGTATTAAAAAATGTGTTGTTGCCCAGGCACTTAAAGTTTAATGATAACCCAAGTATTTTTCTTCTCGTGTTTTGTTCTTTTTTTTGTAGTTTCTTTTTAGAAACATTGTTTTCACTTCTCGTAAATTCTTAACTAAGTACACAGCCAGCCATTGGACTGGAACTGCAAGCAAGCTGGAAGAAGACACCAATCGACCACAACGATTATAGTTGCTCTGCTGCTGATAACCTTTGGACATTTAGTCATAATCATCTTCACACTTCTTTTTATGCAGCCTGGCATTTCTTGAATGCTGTCAATAGATAACGCTGAAAGAAAAAACGATGACAAGCCACATTACTAATAGAGCGGGATGGTTATTATATGAGCCGTAAATATATAATTTTTAATGATTTTTATTGGCTGAACTTTGGAAGGGAAATTTGCAAAAGTAAGGAAAATTAACATGAGGTCTGTTCCATGGAATATCCGGAGTTAAATTTTTTCCAAAGAAATGTTTACACTCCCTCGTATAATTTTTCTTAAAATCGTTTTCAACACTTCAAAAGGTGCATACAATTCTATGTCGATTTAATGACAACCCTCTGCCTATTTTCCAGCCATATAGAGGGGCTGTATTTTCAGCAGATTTTTGAAAGTTGACTTGTTAGTTTGCTTTGTGTCTAGCATGTTAAGTGTAGGTCTTTTACAGTGTATTGGACTATACCTATCTAATTAAAGTTATTTCTTCCATATAAAGGTGTTTCCTGATTTTCGGGTTTTCGACAATCAAGCCAAAATACTCAGCTTCATCTCAGAAAAATAAAAACTCCACAATTTTCAATAGTCCTATCAGATGGTCCCTCCTGTATTAAATAATTATGAGGGTGTTAAATACTAGTATATTTTGAACCAAACCGCTTCAGTTTGGCGATTTTGGTTTTCAGAGTTTAATAAACACACCTGAATAGAAATATAAATATATCACTCGGATCTCTGATTTCGTATTTGCTGTTATTTTCTTACCGATAAACATCGGTAAAATAAAAATGCTTCTAATTTCGGTAAGTAACGACATACTTAGTTACCGAACAGAATGAGATAGTCTTTAAGTCCTACCGATATCAACAGTGTTGTCTACTTTAATTGGGACTTTTAATTCATAATTTTTAGTTTTAATTTTACCGATTTTTGTAGGTAAGTCAAAAAATGCGTTCGAGAATCCCACTACTGATCTACTAACTAATTACTTTTTATATCCTCCACCGCACTGTCAGGATATTATGTCTTTGTGTATTTGTTTGTAACACGGAGAAAGAAGCGAAATAGACCCATAGTTTCTTGTGAAGATCTCCATCAAATCACATTCTTAGCCTATTTATGTATGTCAGTCCGTCCGTCCGTCTGTCTATCCGTGTGAATTTGTGAAAAAATGCAGGTCCCATTAATAAACCGATTTAAATATAATTTTACACAGGTCATTTTTTTGACCAAAGGACGAACGGATTTTGAAACATACGACTGAATTCAGCCTTTAAATTTGGCGAACATCGCTTCAGATATAGCTATATATTCATTTTCCTATTGTGTTTTATCCGATTTGGTGTTAAAATCGCTCATATTCGTAATATACTCACTACAACAATGATATTTGGTACCAGATATAAAGCTCAGAAATACCTCTGTCAAATGTTGCGGAGATCGGTTCAGATTTAGATTTCCATATATCCTTATACAATTTCAGTATAAATGAATTTTACACATTCAACCGAATGTTTTAAATTCGTGAATCTCGGTAACAATATATCGATTGCTCTGATATACATTTTTTACCCTGCACCATACTATGGAGGGTATATTAATTTCGTCACTTCGATTGTAACTCCTACAATTCATATAATTCATATCAGACCCAACAAAGTATATATATTCTGAATCATCGTAAAATTCTAAGTCTATTTAGCGGTGTTTCTGTCTGTCCATTTTAATCGAGCTATTTTTCAAACGAATTGAGATCGAAGGCTAAAATTTTGCACACATAAAATATACGTGTGCCATGCCAGTAGACAGGGTAAATTCGTAAATAGGTCATGTCGGTCCAAGTTTTTGCATAGCCTCTATAAAATTGTACCTCTTAATATTCGGTATTTTGTATTTATTATTTTAGCGACATTAATTGCCGGAATTGTTTCAAATTTCGTAATTGATAAAAAATTACCTTTGCAGGTTCACGTTTTCGCATACCCCCACATACCACCACATAACGATACATCCCGATATTCCGTGTTTTGAAGATTTTAGCAATATAATACCCCGGAATTGTTTCAAATTTCGTATTTGAAGTTCGGGATCGGTACTACCACCAATGATGGAAAGTTATTTAGCCGGTATTTTTCGACGATTTTTTAAATTTTTGAATTTCCTTCCAAATGGTGGATGGTATTACTTAGATTGAGTCCATTCCTTCTGGTACCTCCCCCACAAAGGGTCAAAATTGTGAATAATTATAACTCTTGTAAAATGTGATGTAAGTGTCCGATAGGTTTCAAGTTGCACTCATCCCAATATATTTATTAACGAAAGGTCTGGGGTACCTCCCCCTCAAATTGTCAAATTTTGAATATCGATGAAACTCATAAAACACAAAATTAACATACGATTACATTCAGATTTTACACATCCTAATATTTTTATCAACACAAGATCTATTATAAAGATGGTACAAATCGGACCATTTCTTCTGGTACATCCCCACAAAGGGTCAAAGTTTTAAGTAATTATAACGAATAAAAATTCCGAATTTAGTTAGTATCCGTTCCTCTCCATATTTCACACATCCCATTATTTCCACTAACACGACATCTGCTGTAAAGATGGAATATATCGGTCCACTCATTCTGGTACCTTCCCCAAACAGGGGCAAAATTTTGAATATCCATGAAGCTTAAAAATCGCGAAATTAACATCTGATTCCATTCAGACTTGATACATCTCCATACCTCCATCAAAAAAATATCTGATATAAAGATGGTAGCTTACTTCTGGTTCCCTCCCCACTTGTTGTTCAATATTTTGAAAAAGCATCCAACTCTCTTCAAATATTACACATACAAACATTTTTGCTAACACAAGGCCTGTCGTGAAAATAATATATATCTGCGAACCCCCTTTGATAACAAACACACAAAGGGTCAGAATTTTTAATACTTTTATATGTCCTAACTTGAGACACAAGTCTGCGATTCCTTACATTTTGCTATATTTACATATGTCTCTTAATCAGAAACCTGAGATATTTTTATCAGTGTTAGGTGAAGTAGGAAAATGGAATAATTCGGTCGACTACATGTGGTTCTTCACGCATATATTAATTTTTTTTCTAAAAATTATCACATATCTCATATAAAGTGATGGATGTAGGCAATAGAGACCAAAACCTGAATGTCGCAATGTTTAAATAATATTTATTTTGGTCTGATACGAAATGGACAATATTGGCCTATTCCTTCGAAACCTACTCCATGGAGGATCAACAATTTGAATAATCTAACAGAAGTCAAAATATATTTAGGTAATCGACATTGGCTGAGATGGCATAACCGACTAATTAATAATTGAGATTCCGTTGTTTAAAATTCAAAGATACAACCAACAACATTTCAGTCGGTTTTTTTCTTAGCTTGAATGTTTTCTATGACTTTAAGAAAAAAAGGTTTAGAATCAATAAAAAATTGGTATTTTTATACCCTCCACCATAGTATGGAGGGTATATAAAGTTTGTCATTCCCCCCACAAAGTATATATATTCTTGATCAGCATAAAATTCTATGTCGATTTATCAATGTCCGTCCGTCTGTGGAAATTCCGAACGAAATGAAGTAGGTTGATAAAATTTTACTCAAATGTGTATTATGTCTTCAGGACTTTTGGTATTGAAAATGGGTCATGTAGGTCCACGTCTTCGTATAGCCCCCATGTAACGGTACCTTCCGATATTCGATATTTTGATGATTTTAGCGACACTATTTATCAGAATTGTTTCAAATTTGGCATTTGAAGTTCGTAATGGATGCTTCATCCTGAGACAGAAAATGAGCCATGTAGGTCCACGTCTTCGTATAGCCCCCATGTAACGGTACCTTCCGATATTCGATATTTTGATGATTTTAGCGACACTATTTACCGGAATTGTTTCAAATTTGGTATTTGAAGTTCGTAATGGGTACTACATCCTAAGACAGAAAATGAGCCATGTAGGTCCACGTCTTCGTATAGCCCCCATATAACGTTACCCCCCGATATTCGGTATTTTGATGATTTTAGCGACATTATTCACCGGAACTATTTCAAATTTAGAATTTGAAGTTCGTAATGAATACTACAGCCTATGAGGGAAAATTGTCTGTGCAGGTCCACGTTTTATAACCCCCGTGGTACCTCCCTCTATTCGGTATTTTGATGATTTTAGCTACATTATAAACAGATTTTTTTCAAGTTTCGCATTTGAATATTGTAATAGCTTGTTACAGAAGTTGCCTATGCAGGTCCATGTCGTCATACAGACCCAAATATACGGCTACATTCGGTATTTTTAAGATTTTAAAATAATTTTTAACGGATTTTATTTTTCTTTTTTAAATTGGTGGAGGTTATTCAAAGTTCGGCCGAACTTACAGCTTTTTTACTTGTTGTCACTAAATTTGAAATGCGACCACAATATGCGCTCGAATTCCATCACGATAATATTTGGTATAATTTACTTAACCCAATTCCCTCTATAAACATATATTTGTTACGGATAGCTCTAGCAAATATGCATAGAGGTTTAGGGAGTCATATTACCGGCTCTTCCTACTTTGGGCCTTTCCTTATTAAATTTAACATATTTACCGGCTCTTGGTAGCAGTTTGGAAAGTACTGATCCCCTATATTCAGTCCTTTTAGTTATTTCACTCAATTAACACATGCTTTCCTCACCTCTATCAAATTTGGAGACTGGACAAATGGAACCACTGAAAGTGTAATTGATCAGCATTAGCTTATCAATTGCAGCAGGTCACTTCATCCAGTCCAGGGTTCTTTTTTTGGTTGAAATGTTCGCTAGATTTCCCTTTAAATTTCCGCTAATCAATTTGCTCTCTTATTTTTGCATTCTGACAATGAGATTTCCACCTGAGTTGTTAATTGGCAATTGCCAATTGCAAGGCAAACTAATAAACAACATAGTAGGTAGTTATCTGGCGGACCGAAAAAGAAGAAGAA